TAGTGATCCTGTATAGGGTTTCGGAGGAGCAGCTGGTAGTTTTTATGTTAGTGGTAATTTAAATAAATGTATATCATAATAATACTGATCATTGCTAAAATTTACCCAAATTTATATTATTTTTAATCATTGAACCGTTTCAGTTAGGAAGTTAGGATTTTCTACATAGGTCATGCTATAAAAGTTTTCACCTTTATTGTAATCACAATAAATGAAGTGCCTGTTGCGTAGTAGTTACGAATCGGGCTGTGAACCGCAAAGTCAGCAGTTCGAAACTACCAGTGGTTCCGCGGTAGAAAGATGAGGCGTTCTGCTCCCGTAAAGATTTACAGCCTCGGAAACCCTGTGCAGGGTAGCTATGAGTCGGAACCGACTCCACGGCACTTAACAACAACATTGTACACATGACATAACAATATATTCAAAGAGTTTAGAGAAGTTATTATTTATAGACATTTAGTTTTTATTATTAATATGTTTAGTTTCTTTGATTCATATATATTGACAGTCTTAAAGTCTTGAATGTTATTTTTTAGTGATTTACTAGTGAAAGGTAGCAGTCCTAGTGTGACACTATCGGATAAGCACTGGATTGCTAACCAAAACCCTGTGAGTCAGAACCAACACGAGCACACTTACCAACAGCAGCAATTGCTTGACTAATTTTTAGAAGCACTAAGAGAGTCTCCAGAGTCTTGGTGTGCGGCTGTGGGCTAATGGTCAGATTGCAAAGCGATTTGAACTGCAAGGTCAGTGGTTCAAGCTCACCAACTGCTCCTTGGTAACCCTATACAGGGTTGCCATGGGTCGGAACTGACTCAATGGCACTTCGCAACAACAAGAAGAGAATCTTCAATCAAGGATGCAAAACTAGTTTACCACATTTGGTTAAAAGTTTACGTAATTAATAGAGTGTTAAATGTTATACTATATCTTATTGGGAATATGAATTAATCATGAATTTCCTCTATTGTTCCAGCAAACACTAGATGTGAAGTGACAAAGATTTCTGCCAGATATGGAAGATAGAAAGTTAAAATTGGCCCTGTTATAGCACCAATGTGTTTCTGGTCTAGTAAGAGAAAATACTTAAATAGGCACATCATTTCATTATTGTTGTTGTTGCTTAGTAACATTGAGTCGGTTCTGATCTATAACAACCCTGTATAGGGTTTCCGAGGAGCAGCTGGTGGACTTCAATTGCCAACCTTATGGTTCAAACCGGCATTGCAGTCCAGCACATTAACCCACAGTGCCACACCAGGAATCTAATTTCAATATAGTAAAAGTTTATTTTTAAGAAGTGTACTCATCTTCTTTTCCTCCCCGGCTGCCTGAGTGTCTGCCGCCATCATGAATGGCACAGTAACTATCCGGACAAGGAAGTTCATGACCAACCGACTACTTCAGCGAAACAAATGGTCATTGATGTCCTTCATCCTGGGAAGGCAACAGTACCTAAGACAGAAATTCAGGAAAAACTTGCCAAAATGTATAAGACGACACCAGATGTCATCTTTGTGTTTGGATTCAGAACCCATTTTGGTGGTGGCAAGACTACTGGCTTCGGCATGATTTACGATTCCTTGGATTATGCTAAAAAAAATGAACCCAAACACAGACTTGCAAGACACGGCCTGTATGAGAAGAAGAAAACCTCAAGAAAACAGCGCAAGGAACACAAAAACCGAGTGAAGAAAGTACAGGGGACTGCAAAGACCAATGTTGGTGCTGACAAAAAGAAGGAATAAATATTCTGCGATGACTGTGGATTTTTCACCAGAGGATAAATAAACCCTAAAATCTTTAAAAAAAAAATGTGTACTCATGAAGCATAGAATGATCAATACTGCATGTTAGGTATATCAAAGAAGGTTTTACAGAAGAAAAACATTTCTGAACTGAAATTTGAAAATTAAATAGAACTTTGGTAGGCAAGTAAGAGGGAAAGGACTAAAGACTATTTCTTGACTATATGTCACTGAATTCTGTTTATTCAGTGGCATATAGTCAAGAAACAGTATTGCAGGTTCACAATTGCAAATAGTATTGTATAGCAGGATATGTCCTGGTTGTTGTTGTTAGATACCATTGAGTCGGTGCCGACCTTATGCACAGCAGAACAAAACACTGCCCAATCCTAGGCCAACCTCACTATTGTTGCCACGCTTGAGCCCATTGATGCTGCCATTTGGCCAATCCATCTCATTGGGGGTCTTCCTCGTTTTCTCTGACCCTCCACTTTACCAAACATGATATCCTTCTCCAGTGAGTGATCCCTCCTGACAATATGTCCGAAGTACAAGAGATGAAGTTTGGCCATCTTGGCCTCCAAGGAGCACTGTGGCTACACTTCTTCCAACACACATCTGTTGGTTCTATGGGCAGCCCGTGGCACTTTCAGTATTCTCCTCCAACATCATAACTCAAAAGCATCAATTCTTCTATAGTCTTCCTTGTTCACTAACTTTCGCATGCATATGAGGTTATTGAAAATACCATGGCTTGGGTCAGGCGACCTTAGTCCTCAAGCTGACATCTTTACTCTTCAACACTTTAAAAAGGTCTTATGCAGCAGATTTGTCAAATGTAATACATCGTTTGATTTCTTGACTGCTGCTTCTGTGAGTGTTGATAGTTGATCCAAGAAGAATGAAGTCCTTGATAACTTCAACCTTTTGAATAAGAATTTTGATAAGAATTTTGTTTATTGGTCCATTGGTGAGGATTTAAAGGGGAAAAAAATTGGCAGGAGGTAAAATTAGAAAAGATGCCAGGGACTTTATCTGAGGATCATGTAGGAGATGAGGAAAACTTATTGAAGGGTTAAAAAGAAGACTAGCATGAGATTTCAATTTTGGAGGGTCATTCTGATCACAGTATGGAGAATAGATTACGTAGTGGTAAAGTCAGAAGCAAGGAGATCATTTAGGAGGCTAGTCCAAGTCTTATATATCTGTTTGGAAATTAGCACCAGTGATTTAAGTGATTGAAGCAGCCACAGTTAGACATCTATAAAATTATCAGTGCGTGTGTGTAGAATAAATGGAGAAGTGGACAAGGACTTACTAGTCATTGATGCCCTAGGAATCACTGACATATATGTGTAGGTTGAGTAGACTAAAAAGGGATAGTGGTAGTCCATAGGCATGTCTTCAAATCTACAGGAGAGTTTCAGCAAGAGGGATTAGTAAAGTTTGCCTGATGTTGCAAAGATGTCAAGTTCACTAGTAACCCTTTTGGAGCACTGCTGGTACAGTGAATAAGTACTGTATACTAACCAAAAGGCCAGAAGTTTGAACCCACCAGCTGCTCCATGGGAGAGAGAGATGGCATTCAGCTTCCATAAAGATTACAGCCATTAAAACCCTATAGGGCAGTTCTACTCCATCCTGTAGGTCACTATAAGTCAGAATCAACTCAACAGAACTTATAAAATTGAAGTTTTTTGAGCAGGAGTAGTAACCCTTTTGAGAGGAATTTCAGGATAGATACCATATTTCTTTTTTTTTTTTTTTTTAATGTTTTATTGTGAATTATATGATAGTTTACATGGGAGAACTTTAACTTTACATTCATTCCATCGTATATCATCTCACTGCCATGGTTCCAATCCCCTCCATGCATCATCAACCACCCAAAGGGTATATCCCAGAAACCCGCCCCCTATACTTATCCCCTCCTCCCCCCAGTTTTCGGCCCACAGTCCCTTTCCCTCTCTGGGTTCAAAGTCCCCAGTCACTTCATCACTCCATGTCATCATCTCTGTCTCCATCTCAGGCATCTCTGTTTCTCTGGGTAGGGTCCCGCTCTCGGCTCTTCTCCGTTGATAGTCCCGGAGGCCTCCGCTCCTATCCTGGTGAATTAATCACTCCCTTCCTTGTTACAAAACTTCCACCTTTGCATTTCCAACCCTCATAATCCGTCCTGATAAGCATTATTCACTACAGTATCATGAGTTACCCATCTGTATCTCCTTTCATCAGCTCCGCCCAGACAGATTGAATAGTACCTACTGGAGATTCTGCCTTCTGTCATGCTCCCTAGCACCAGGTTCCCTCTTGAAAGCTTGTAAGCCAGTCACTTCTTGCCTTTGTAGCCCCCCTCCCCATTTGAGTATCCACCAATGTCCAAGCTGCCCTTCTCTGTCCACTCTGTGTGTGGGGTGTGTGTGTGTGTGTGTGAATGTTTCTTGCTGTGAGGATTTGTTCCCTCTTTTGAGTAGCTGCTCCATAGGTATAGGTCAAGTTCATCAGAGTGTATCAGCTCACTTTTTTTTTTTCCCCCCTCTTCTTTCTTCTCCTGGTTGAGAAGTCATCCGGTCTAGGTCACATGGGTATCATCTGCAAGTGTGGGCGCTCCTGTGCATATGTCCTCTCTTCCTGTCAGCTGGTAGCTCCACTCTCCTCTCAAGTCCTCCGTGGCCACGCCACTGACTCTGGACCCAAGAGTCCCCAGGCCTCTTCACACTGCTTGTCAACCAGGTCCCCAACTGGGTCCACAGAAGTCTACTGATCATTGTAGGGCTTAGCTTGCCGCTTCATTGCTGCCTTTACCCCACTTCCCCCCATCGGCGATGTGTGTGGTCACCAATTAGAGCATGCATTTCCGTTGAGTCTTAGTCTTGGAAGGGGGTTTGCGTTGAGAGGACCTGGCAGATACCATATTTCAATGGGATAAAGAGTTGAAGAATTACAGAAAACTCCCCAAACTACTTTTTTAGGGTTTCAAAGTTTATATCAACTATTTTATTTACATGGCTAGATGATTTTTTATGTGTTTCTCATTAGTGTTACAATAATAGGGGAACTTTTACATTTCTTATTGAAATTATTATTGTTAAGTCACTGACTGGATAAGCTCTTCAAATTATAATTAAAAAAATAAAACTGAATAAACATTTGTCTAACATATCACCTTGCATATAGTGAATGCTCAGTAAATATCTTTTTTGTAAAATTGAATTTTTATTGAACATTGTTTCTTTTTCCCTCCAAAAGTGTGTGGATTCTCGTGTCATATAACTTGTGTAAACAAAGCTCCAACCACTTGTCCAGTTCCTTCTGAACAGACAAAAGGTCCCCTGGGTATAGATCCACAGAAAGGAATAGGAACCGCATATGAAGGTTACATCAGGGTAAGTATATTAGGTCAGGTTTAGAATTTTAAGGTTTAATAATAAATATAAGCACTATTTGTCTGTCACTTTGTCATCCTGTAGTGACTTGTGTGTTGCTGTGATTCTGGAAGCTATGCCACCAATATTTTAAACACCAACAGGATTACCCATGGTGGACAGGTTTCATCTGCAGTTCTGAACAGACTAGGAAAAAGGAGAGATGGAGTACTTCCGAATATGTAGTCACTGAAAACCTTATGAATAGCAGTGGAACACTGTCAGCACCAGAATATTGAATATCGCAACATGATGAATAGCTCTAGAAAATTGTCAGATATAGTGCTGGACGATGAGTCCCTCAGTTTAGAAGACACTCAATATGTGACTAGAGAAGAGTTGCGTCCTCAATATAGAGTTGACTGTGATGACATGAATGGACCTTCCCTTTGCTGATGGGGCACAACTCAAAATGATGAGAAATCATTGTAAGCATCCATTTATAATTAGAACATGAAATATGTTAAGTATGAATCTAGAAAAATTAGAATTTGTAAATATGAAATGAAACACACAGACATTGATATCCTAGGCATTAATGAGCAGAAATAAACTACTATTATCTATTTTGAATCTGACATGGCTTACTATACTGGGAATGACAAATTGAAGACGAATGGCATCACATACATCATCAAAAAGAACATTCCAAGATCTATCTTGAAGCACGATGCTGTCTGCATAGGATAATACCCATGCAGGTACAAAGAAGACCACATAATACAAGTATTATTCAAATTTATGCACAAATCACTAAAGCCAGTGATGATGAAATTCAAGAATGCTACCAAATTTTCAGTCTGAAATTGATCAAACATGCAATCAAAATGTATTGATAATTACTGATGTTTGGAGTACAAAGGTTGGAAACAAAGAGGAAGGATCAGTAGTTGGAAAATATGGCCTTGGTGATATAAATGATGGTGGAGATCTCATAATAGAATTTTACAAAAGCAATGATTTCTTTATTGCAAATACCTCTTTAAAACAACATAAAAAAATAGCCATGCTCATGGACCTCACCAAATGGAATACGCAGAAATCAAATTGACTATATCTGTAGAAAGAGACAGTGGTGGAGATCCATAACATCATTCAAAATAAGACTGGGGCAGACCATCAATTGCTCATATACAAGGTCAGACTGAAGCTGAAGAAAAATTAAAGCAAGTCCATGAGAACCAAAATGTGACCTTGAAATATCCCACCTAAATGAAGAGATCATCTCAAGCACAGATTTGATGAATTAGACACTAATGACTGAAGACCAGAAGAGTTATAGGATGACATCAAGAACATCATAGAGGAAGAAAGCAAAAAAGGTCATTAAGCAGAAAAGAAAGTGGGAAACAATCAAGATAGATGTTAAAAGAGACTCTGCAACTTGCTGTCTCGCATAGAGATGCTAAAGCAAATGGAAAAAATGAGGAGGTAAAAAAGCTGAACAGAAATTTTCAAAGGGCTGCTCAAGAAGACAAAGTCAAATATTGTGATGAAAATTGCAAAGATCGGGAGCTAGAAAACCAAAAGGGAAGAAAACACTTAGCATTTCTCAAGCCAAAAATATTTGAAGAAAAAAGTTTGAGCCTTGACTTGCAATATTAAAGGATTTTAAGGGCAAAACGTTGAATGATGCAGAAAACATCAAAAGAAGATGGAAGGAATGCACAGTCACAGTATCAAAAAGAAATGTCAGTGTTCAACCATTTCAAGAGGTAGCATATGATCAAGAGCCAATAGTACTGAAGGGAGATGTTTAAGATGCAATGAAGACACTGGAAAAGAATGAAGGCTCTGGGAATTGATGGACTGCAAATTGAAATCTTTCAACAAACTGACGTAAGACTGGAGGAGATACTCACTCATTTATGCCAAGAAATTTGGAAGACAACTACCTTGCCAGCTGATTGGAAGTGATACATACTTGTTCCCGCTCCAAAAAGAGGTGACCCAATGGAATGTAGAAATCATCAGGCAATATCACTAGTATTGCATGCAAGTAAAATTTTGCTAAAGATAATTCAAAAACAGCTGCAGCAGTACATTAACAGAGATTTGTCAGAGGTTCAGGTCAGATTCAGAAAGAGACATGGAATGAGGGATATCACTGCTGACATCAGATGGATCGTGGCTGAAAGCAGAGAATACCAGAAAGATATTTACCTGTGTTTTATTGACTGCACAGAGGCTTTCGATTTTGTGGATCATGACAAACTATGGACAACATTGCGAAGTATGAGTATTCCTGAACACTTAATTGTGCTCATGAGGAACCTGTACATAGACCAAGAGGCAGTTGTTCAAAAAGAACAAGGGAACACAAATGGTTTAAAATTAGGAAAGGTATGCGACAGGGTTGTATTCTTTCACCATACTTATTCAGCCTGTATGCTGAGCAAATGATCTGAGAAGCTGGGTTATATGAAGAAAAACGTGGCATCAGGATTGGAGGAAGACTCATAACAACCTGCGATATACAGATGGTACAACCTTGCTTGCTGAAAGTTAAGAGAACTCAAAGTGCTTACTGATGAGGATCAAAGAGCACACAGCCTTTGGTATGAGTTGCATCTCAATGTAAAGAAAGCAAAAATCCTCACCATTAGACCAGTAAACAACATACATCAATGGAGAAATTATTGAAGTTGTCAAAGACTTCATTTTACTTGGATCAACCATCAACACTCATGGAAGCAGCAATCAAGAAATCAAATGACATTTTGCATTAGGCAAATCTACCTTTTTAAAGTGTTGAAGAACAAAGATGTCAGTTTGAGGACTAAGGCGTGCCTCACCCAATAGCTCCTTTATGCATGTGAAAATTGGACAATGAATACGTAAGACTGTAGAAGAATTGAAGCCTTTGAGTTATGGTGCTGAAAGAGAATATTGAAAGTATTGTCGACTGTCAGAAGAACAAGCAAATCTGTGTTGTAAGAAGTACAATCAGAATCCTCCTTAGAAGCCAAGATGACCAGGCTTTGTCTCATACTTTGAACATATTTTGCAGAGAGACTAGTCCCTGAAGAAGGACATCATGCTTGATAAACTGGAGGGTCAGAGAAAAAGAGGTAGACCTCCAATGAGATGGACTGGCACAGTGGCAGCAGCAATGGGCTCAAGCATAGCAGCAATTATGAGATTGGTGCAGTATCAGACATTGTTTCATTTGTTGTGCATAAAGTCTCTAAGAGCTGGTACTGACTCAATGACACCAAACACCAATGAATTAAACTTAAACCCAATCATTTTCTTGTCAGAAAATCAAATTAGTAGAATTCATCTAATCGTTTTATTTCATTCAGAGGAATAACTTGAAAACAAAAAGCTTAGCCATTGCTTAGAAATCAATTGCAGATGGTCTCAAACTTTTCTGTACTGTCCCTGTCCTGTGATGAACAAATGTTGACCTCTCTATAAAGAAGTATTTGGCAGATGGCCTTGCCAGATAGGTGATGCATGTTTATGAATTATAAGATACTATCAAGTCATTATCTTATTTGTTATCATGAGTAATACCTAGGGTTATCATAGTAAATACTTACATCTTACTACCAATTTTGACTTTTATGCTACTTAGAAAGAAAGCGATCAGTGCTATTTTTTAACAAATTACAAGTGAAAGTTAGGAGTCCTGTTGTGGTGTTATAGAATAAGCACTAGACTGCTAACTGAAAGGTCGGCAGTTCAGACTCTTCAACCCCTCCTTGGAAGCTGACTCATTGGCACTTAACAAGTAAAAGTTTAAAGGGTGTCATTTATAAACTTTAGTTCAATGTTGTCTCACATATTTCCATATTATTCATATTTGTGTTCCATCTGTTACTTTACCAGCCAAGGCGACAGACTTATAATACATTTATATTATCTTTAGGTTTTCATCATGCAGTTACATGTATAATTAAAAGAGCTCTGAGTAACATTTGTTTTTGTTTGTTTCCTTGTCTGCTTGTCTATCTAAAAATAAACTAAGATGCCAAAGCCAGCTGGAGTGAAGAAAGGATGGCAGAGAGCATTGGCTGTAGTCTGTGACTTCAAACTCTTTCTTTATGATGTTGCTGAAGGAAAAGCATCTCAGCCCAGTGTTATAGTCAGCCAGGTGATTGACATGAGGTAAGCTTTCAAAGGTGAAAATGCTTGATTATGGCGACATAAGAATAGAATAGGAAGTTTCTGATTTTTCTTTTAACAATGATATCATGTCTTTACTTATTAATTATTTTTACTTATATATTTATCATATATTAATATTTAATTAGTAGTAATCTAGTTTTATACTAACTTTATCATTTACTAATATTACTATAGTAATAATTAACAATAGAAATTAAAATAAGATGGATTGATGTGTGTTAGGGCTAAAGGCCAAGAAAAAGAAGATGGTGTTTGAATCCACAAGGCAAATTTAGAGATTGTTGTGGTAATTAATGGTGGCTAGTGTAATTAATGGTGGCTTGTGTGGCCCTGTGGGACAAAGCACTGGACCACAAGGTCAGTTGAAACCCCAAGGTCATTGGCTCAAATTCACCAGTCACTCCTTGGAAACCCTACACAGGGTCCCTATGAGTTGGAACCAACTCAACAGCACTTAACAACAACAAGTCTGTGATGTTTATATCATCACTTAAAGGTTTAGAGTATAATTCCAGTATGAGGGGAAAAAATTAAAATCTCAAAATCAGACCAGCTCTTGGAATATACAATGAATCAGTAAACGTTTATATAAGCACATCTCTTAAGTAAAAAGTGATGTGCTTTTCTTTCTATCTCAGAATGCTCCTGGTCTCATCTTACAGACATTCCTCTTGACCTTTGGAGCGCTCTCCTTTTGCTTCCCTCATAGCTCCAGGCACACAAAGCCTCAGAAACCCTAAACAGGGTCACTATGAGTCAGAACCAACTCAACAATCACTTAACAATAACAACCAACAAAATGAGATTGTGGCACTGTAGGATAAGCATTGGACTGCTAACCACAAATTTAGGGTTCAAACCTACCAGTCACTCCTTGGAAACTCTATACAGGATGGCTATGACAGCGTTTATCAACAATAACAAGTGAGGTTGTATAGCCATTATGGAAATAGTTTGGTAGTTCATCAAAAAGTTGTTTACCATGTGACCCAGCACTTCCACTCCTGGGTGTGCATGTAGTAGAATGAAAGCAGGGATGGATGTGAACGGAGACCTGTACATCAGTGTTCCTGCAACACTGTTCACTATTGCCAACAGTGGAAGAGCACAGATGTCCATCAGCAGATGAGTGGATCCAATAAGATGGATAACTGTGGTACAGCATGTTATGAATATGAGAAATGAAGAGAAATTAAGTCCTGCCTGATACATGCTTTGACATGGATGAGCCTTGGAAACGTGCTGAGTGAAATAAGTCTGTCACAGAAGAAGAAACTGTGTGGTTTTACTTGTATGAAATACCTGGAATAGACAAATATAAAGAGAACAAAGTTGATTAATGATTATCAGGGGTTAGCAGGAAAGAGAGGAAAGGAGGACTCACTGCTAAGAGGATGCTGAGCTTCTTTTAAAAGTTATGGGAAATTTGGGAACAGATAAGGCTGATGCCTGAACATGATAAACATAAGTTCATGCATGTCACTGAACTGTACATATGAAGAATGTTGAAATGGAGATGTTTTATTGCATAGTTACTTACCACAGTAATAAAATTACTTGGGGCACTATAAATCAAAAAACTTTTAGGTGTTTTATGCAATTAAATTTTGAGGATTACTCCTTATGAGTTATTTGAATACACACCCCAAACCACACACACATACCCACAGCATTGACTTTTAGTGTTTCACTTTTTGTTCAGGGATGAAGAATTTTCCGTGAGTTCAGTCTTGGCTTCCGATGTTATTCACGCAAGTCGAAAAGATATACCCTGTATATTTAGAGTAAGTATGTATGCTATGATTTGATCTCTGAATAATGAGTTATTAATGAGTACATATTTTGCCTCTCAATATAAATCATAAACCTACTTGGACAAATCTTATTTCTCTATATCAGCCATACAAATTTCTCTATATCGTCCATATAACCCAGTACGTGAATGTATGAGGGGGGCTTCAAAAAATTAGTGGAAGAATTCCATTGCCTTTAATTCCATTTTCCATGAAGTTTTTGACATCTGGGTTAATGGGCTGAGCTGCAAGATTGGTATGAACAGCAAGGTCGGCAGTTCAAACTCACCAGTCGCTCCTCAGAAACCCTATACAGGTTCGCTATGGGTCTGAACCGACTCTATGGCACCTAACTACAACAGCATATAAACAATTCGTGCTAAGTAAAAGTTAGTGAAAGACATGTGCAATACATGAAGATATGGCTTCTAAAATTGGTTTCCTCTTGTATGATGTTTTTGAATCACCACTCAGTTTTTAAATACATGCTACCACAATGTAAAACTGGATAAGGACTTCAAAAAGAAGTTCATCTCTTTAAAAATGTCATTTCTTATACCTATTTCTTAGCCATTCTAAAGTTTAGTAGCTCAAAATAACAATGATTCATTCTTTTTCACATTTCTATTAGCTGGCTGGACAGTTCTTGTGTCAACTGGGGCCACTCATGTAGCTGCTCTGGCCCTTGATACTAGAGATTGATAGGGTGTCTCAGTTATCTTCTGTGTGTAATTTTTTCTCCGTCTGTCTCTAATAATTCAGTAGTCTGGCTGAACTTTACATGGCTGACTTCCAATGAGCAAAAGCCACCAAACTTTGTAAGAACTAGCCCCTAAACAGGCATTATAAGTTTTTACATTTTCCGGAGAAAAGCAGGTCATAAGACCAACCCAGATTTGAAGGAAGGGGACATAGATTCTGCCTCTTTAAAAACTCACTGCCATCAAGTTAACTTTGACTCATAATGACCTCATAGGACAGAGTAGAACTGCTCTCTAGGATTTCCGAGATTGTAAATCTTAAGAGAACAGATGGCCTTATCGTTATCCCATAAAGTAACTGGTAGGTTTGAACTGCCAACCTTGAGTTAGCAGTCCAATACTTAACCAACAGTGCTACCGGGGCGCCTTCTTAATAGGAATAAAAGTTTGTAGAAAGTATTGTTGGTAGCCATCGCTGAAATTCTAGAATTGACAAATTAATGGAGGTAGATAAAGACAGTTCCAACTCTAAGCGACCCTGTATAGGATTTCTGAGGAGTGGCTGATAGGTTTGAAATGCTGACCTTGTGATTTGCAGTTCAGTGCTTATCCTATAGCACCATACCAAACTGACCTATTATTGTGCCTACAATGTGCCTTTTGGAGTCCTGGTTTCCAAGAGAATCTGCTGGACCCGTTCAATTCAAGGCAGAGAAGTCAGTGCTGAAGGTTTTGGAGAGAGACAGTTTTTTTGAGATTCCAAAAGGTTTATCTTTGTAGATTTTATTTTGATTAGATCTATTTTTATTTTTAATGCATCATAATGAGACTAAGGCAAGTGTATTACTGAGAAAACTGCTATGCAGCCATCCACTTATCAAGAGACATGTATAAACCCATGTATGAACTGGTGCCCTAGTAGCAATAATTTTTTATCTACCCTTGTGTGTATGTTGGGTAAATTAAAATCTGTTCTGATTGTAAATGCTGTTTACATAATTAAAAACATTCATTTAAATAGTAGCTCAGGTGATCTGATCTTCTCTAATGATAATATGAGTTATTGGCATGAAGTAACAGGGAGTGTAAGTATTTCTGAACATTTCTGACTTTAAAACAAATTGTATTCCAGAGAAAAGTTGATGTTGCTGTTGTTAGGTGCCATTGAGTCAGTACCGACTCACAGCTACCCTATGTACAACAGAATGAAACACTGCCCGGTCCTGGGTCAACCTCACAATTGTTGCCACTCTTGAGCTCATTGATGCTGCCACTTTGCCAATCCATCCTGCTGGGGGTCTTCGTCTTTTTCTCTGACCCTCCATTTATCAAACATGATATCCTTCTCCAGCAACTAGTACCTCCAGACAACATGTCCAAAGTATGAGAGACAAAGTTTAGCCATCCTGTCCTCTAAGGAGCACTCTGACTACACTTCTTCCAACACAGATCTGTTGGTTCTATGGGCAGCCCATGGCACTTTCAATATTCTTCTTGAACACCATAACTTTAAAGTATCAAGTCTTCTATGGTCTTCCTTATTCAACTGTCCAGCTTTCGCATGCATATGAGGTTATTGAAAATACCATGGCTTGGGTCAGGTGCATCTTAGTCCTCAAGCTGACATCTTTGCTCTTCAACACTTTAAAAAG